TCCTCCGCCGACACCTGTCTTTCAAACCAAGCCAGCGTCTCTTATTGAGCAGCAGGGGGTCTGCAAAGTCTGCTAAATACTTAATTGAGCGTCAGCAGATTCCTGTGGTAACTGCAGACCTCCGCTGAAGAGACAAGCAGTGTGTCCCGTCCCCAGTGCACAGCAAACTGGGAAGGTTCACAGTCCTACGGCCGGCACGGAGCAGAACCCCCCCTGCAATTTCATGCCCCGTTACACTCAACAAAAGGCGGGGGATCGGCTTGCTGCCAGCGGATCCGAACACGGCCGGGGGTTCAGCGCTGTACCCTTTAAACCCGCTCCCGAGGAGCGGTCCGGGCTTGCCTTTGCCTGGATTCTTCAGGGGCTTAAAAAAGGCAAGTGGTTTTTCACTCCTCTCGCCCCCTAAATGAGCAGAGTATCACTTCATCTGTTAGAGTCCCACGCAATCTGTTTGAAAAGGAAGGCTGGCCGTACCTGCCGAGGTCAACGGCGCTGGTGCCAGTGACAGAAAGGTTTCAATCAGAGGGTGCTGCCTCTCTCAAAGCTTGGTTTTACGCAGCACCGAAGCCCTTTGCTCCCTGCGGACTCTGGGGCAGACTAATTCCGCGCACCAGGCTACCCGCAAACGCTGCGGCCTGAAAATCCTGGCCAGGAAACAGCGACGACACTTGGAAGAGAAATCAGACGGAGGAGCGAAAGAGCTGCCTTCTGGCTATCGCTTTCCATGCTGAGCCGAACGCAGTGTCACCCCTGTGGCATCCAACTTCATAAACTTTATTGTCAGAGAAAATACAGGTTGGCATCAAAGCGCTCATAAACAAAACCACCCAAACCGGACAAAACCTCTTGACACAGGGGGTTCAACACCCAGACGTCACACACATCCACGGGGGCTGCCATCCCCAAACGCTACTGCATCTCTTCCTCCCTCTGGGCCCTGTATTCCTTCACGCTCCTCTGCAAACAAGAGCAAAGGACAGTGGTTAACAGCAGATCTCTCACCGACTCCTGCTCCACGGCGTCCTCACCCTGCCTGGGCTGTGACTTCTCAGCCCAGTGCCTGGAAAGGCTGAGGGACCTGAGCAGCTCTGACAGAGCTCCAGGTGCTTTCAGAAGTGACTGAGCTTCACAGTCACTCCAAGGGAGAGGAAGGCAGGCCACGCTGCAGGGAACGTCTGGAAAAACCGTCACGTTTTTCACGTCAAAAGGGCCTACCACACAGGTCTCAGCCCACTCCTGTCCCCTCTGAGACCCAGAGATAGAAAAGGCCCCTGAGCTCTTCAGGAATAGCCTCACCTCAAAGGTGTTGAGCACGTGTTGGCAAACACCCATCAGGTCATTCAGCCCTTTCCGGAACGGCTCGACAGCAGGAAGGGCCCCTTCGAGAAAGAAGATGCGTTCGTGAAACGGGAGGTGGCTTCCAAACGGGTCGGTAGCCTTCTCCCTCGCCAAGGGCCATCCCCGGGATAGGGAGAGGCTCTGACACCACGTATGTGCCCGCACCCTTCCCTCCTCCCGGCCCCCCATCAGGCTGAGCTCGGGGCGGTGGTCCAGGCACAGCGGGCACTTCCCCTGCAGCGAGTCCCAGGGGGAAGGGGTTCCCTCGGCAAGGCCAACAGCCCCAGCGCTCGTTATTTTCAGGAAATTAAAGAGTCAGCAAAGCTCAGACCAGACCCTGGCTTCCAGGAAGCGGCTTCTCCGTGTTTGCTGCTCGAGGGAAAACAGCCCAGACGAAACACCACGGCCCCTCTAGGCAGCAGGCAAGGCTGCGGAGCTTGCGGGGCCCGGGCGGAGGGCGGCGGGCTGAGCTGAAGGGGTTGGTGCGCTGGGAGGGGCGAGCAAGAGGCTCAGGGTTGTCAGTGCTACCTACTATCAGGCCACAAAGGCCTCTCGGGGAGGCAAGGCGGAAGAGAACCCAGACTGACGAGGCTTTTCGAAAGAGCTTCGGGTCACAGCTCGCCGCCCGAAGAAGGAGAAGCACAAACACATTCTCTCCCGGCAGCTGGGTCCGTCAGCACACTTGGGCTCGGCTTTCCAGCCCCCACGCTGGCTTGGGGGCAGACGGAGCTCCCAGCAATCACCTCTTGACAGCGAGCAGTGGATCTGTTCTCCCCCAGCACCGCAGTTTGGAGCCTGCTGCCAGCCAAGCCAGATACCGGGGGACGCAGGCATGGCTGTGGGCTCCTCGGGCCTCAGCTGGCTCAGCCCTACAGCTGGGGGGCAGAAGAGCTGCAGCAGCCTCCCCAGCTGAGCAAGCAGCCGCAGGTGGCTGGCAGACAAGAGGGAGGAAGGTGCTCTTCTTTATTTAAAGGACTCATGGCAGAAACCTGCTGTGAGCAGGGGGAATTCCACCAAGGAAGGGCCCCGGACACGAAAGAAAGGCGCACGCCCATACCTCTGGTCTGGATTCGGAAGTTGATTTTGCTTTCAGAGGGGTGTGTGATGCAGTAGCCACAGAACTCCACGTCAGGGCTGCAGGAGGGGAGAGAGGAGAAGAGAGCAGTGAAAGCCAGGCCAACCCACAGAGAATCTCAGGAAAGCCAGAGGCTCGGCCCCCCCCCAAAGCGTGTGGGGCTCAGGATGTTTCTAAAATGATCGAGGGTCTTATGGGAGGGATATGCTGAAGGGAAACTACCTGTGTAACCTTATTCACATGCCCCCATCTGTCTGAGCTGCAGCTGCAGCTTTGCAGGGGAAGGACATGGCTGGCACGGCCATAGGCATCATCCTGGCACCAGCAGCGGTCCACTGGCAGGCCAGCAGAGTTCAAACTGGGGATGCTGGACGCTTGGAAACCTCACTGTACCCAAACCTCTCGCAGTTCTGCTGGGCTGAGGGGTTGAGGGCACCGCAAGGATTTACTGAGAGACGGTTTGCAGGCTGCACGGCATCTGCCTCCACGAGCTGAGGCGGCTGGCAGAACGCTGGCGCGCCCAGCAGAAAGCAGAGCCCCTTGCAGGAAGCCTCCCGTTCTCATCACGGTGACTTATCAGAGGAATTCACGTGACACTGGCAGCGCGGCTGTCATCTGAGGCGCCGCACCGACCCTCCCGCTGTAATTCTGCTGAGGCTTACCAGCAGGCCTTCACAACCCCTCGGGGCTGCCCAGTGCCATGAAATCGGGCAGCCAGGGTGAACCCACTTGTCTGTTTTGATGGGGGCAGCAGGATAATTCCCAGCATCAACCCCTGCATCTCCACACAAGCAGGAAAGCTGATCAATTCGCTTAATATTGGCTGTCCCTGCTCTCTTCTCTGACAGGAGGAGACGCAGAGACAGCCTGAGCACGCGTACAGAGCTGTGCATCATCCTACCCGGGGCAGAATAAGACATCCAGAAGTCTTTTACGTGTCAGATGTTAAATTTCCTCCACAACTAACCATCAAGGACCAGCAAGGGCTGGCTGTTCCCTGAGGGGTGGGGAGCTGGGAGGCCCCAAATGCTCAGCCAGCCGACAGGGCCGCGGCCTCACTCGCTAGCCCTGTCCCACAGCACCCAAGCGAGGGAGCAGAGCGGGTGCAAAGGTGGTAGCCAGGGTCAGCTCAAGGGTCCAGCTCGTCAGGCAGGTTTGTGGGGCAGGAACGGGTCTGAGGTCAGGCCAGGCAGCCAGTCTGCAGGCCAGCGTCACGTCAGGGGAGGGTAACGAAGGTCAGATCCCCAAGGAGGTGCACAAGGACGGCAAGGGCTGATGCCAGGTCAGGAAGTCAGTGCGTGGGTCAGCGTCCAGGGGAATGGAGTCCAGAGCCCAGTACAGGCCGAGCTGGAGACCCACACTCCTACAGCCTAGCTCGAGAGGGGCTGAAAGCCCTGAGCTGAGCTTAAGGGGGGCTCCTGGGCCCATGGGCAGGGGGTGGGTGGAGGCCTCAGGTACGGCTGGTCAGGCCCGTTAAGGCCT